GTCCTTCCACTCGTTGCTGATGTGGTCTGTCCTGAGCATCCTCACGGATACCACTTCCTTACTCTGTTGCCTAGTACAATGTTTCCGATCTTCAGGACAAGGTCTTCTTGACAATGCATCTGCGTTGCCATGAGATTTCCCGTTGCGATGTCTGATAGTAAAGTCGTATCCCGGCTGCTGCTGGGTGGTGATGTTAGCCGCACTTCCCTTCTGAGATCGTTCACCTTCCCTTTCTAGGGTTCGCTTAGGGCAGCTGGATCGAAGATGGCCCCTTTCTCCACAGCCATAGCACCTAGGGCTGTATCTTTTATTGTGGTCGCGAACTGCTGCAACCTCCCTAGCGTGAGGGGAATGATGTTGCTGCCACCGCCAGGCGGTGCCGTTAGCTGCACTACCCTCTCGAGATCGATCAACTTCCCTTTCTTCAGTTCGCTTAGGGCAGCTGGATCGTAGATGGCCCTTTTACCCACAGCCATAGCATTAGCATTAACATAGGGCTGAATCCTTTGTTGCGATCGCGAACTGTAGCTGCTGCGATCTCCCTGACGCGATGGGAACGATGATCCTGCCGCACGGCTTCTACCTCCAGTGCAAGGGCCAAGGCGTCCTTAAGCGTGTCGTGGTGCCCGAGCCTCACAGCAGCTCTGACTTCCAGGTCGCGGATCCCGTCGATGAATGTCTGCACCAGGTTCCCTTCAATGAGCGCAGGTACAGACTGGTATGCTTTTCGAACCATCTTCTCCACCTCAAGGGCCCACTGCTGCAGGTTTTCGTTGCTGCGTTGCACACGATCTTTAAGCTGCGCGCGAAAGACGTGTTCCAGGTGAGCGTCACCATATCTCGCCTCCAATGCCTCAAGGAGCTGCTCGTAGGTCACTTTCTTACCGAGAGCTTCCAACACGGTTAAGGCTTGGTCTCGCAGGCCTAAGGTGAGTGCAGTCATGGCCTGGCTTTTATTCCAGCCGTTTGCCTCCATGACGGCCTCGAACTGGATTTTGTAGGCCGACCGGGAAGAAGTCCCGTCGAACGGCGGCACTTTGAATCCACGTAGCGAAGGTGCTGTAGCTACTACGGGAGCTGTAGTTCCATCCCCAAGTTTGAGGTCGTTCAGCGTTTTCCTCACGTCAGCCATCACGTTGTCAACCCGATTGTTCACATGGTTGATTCGGGTTTCAGCTTCCGACAGGCGGTTGTCATGTTGTGCAACCCTATCCTTCACCTCCCTTATCTCTTTCCCAAAGGTAGCGTGAAGGTCCTTCATGAGGAGCATCTGCTCTTCCGATCGACGAGCCTGTTCCTCCTGTCGGCGGGCCTGTTCCTCTTGTCCGCTCTGCAGCTGCTCTTTCAACTGACGGACCTGTTCCTCCTGTCGGCGAGCCTGCTCCTGCAGCATCACCATCAGAGCACCTAAGTCAGGTGCTGCAGATGTAGGAGCTACTGACGGGCCTGCAGCCGGCGGCTGGCCCTCCGACGTCTGCGGCGTTGCACCACCAAATCTTCTTTGGTCCGTCTCCTGCTGGCGTTGACTTCGGGTACGGACACCCTCCGTTTCTCCTTAGGTAAAATCGGCATGATTTAATCCCACTTCTGACACCAATTGTTACGAGCTTGAGGTTTGTGACAATAAAAATTGCCGATAGAATTACCTAAATTAACACTTTAATTTTCTTTACACAAATTAAAACTTAAAACACCAATAATTAAGCACACTAATTCACTTTATTCCGCTCCGAAGCTTCGCTTGTTTCGCCGAATTCAATACTTCCCCGATCGCACCTTGCAGCTCCTATAAATACACACAAGCTCTCCCCTCGCTCCATTACCCGACACTAGATGGCGCTAGTGCCAGATGTCAACTTAGCCGCGCAACAGTACCATGACTATCAAGATTCGAGATCCCTTGTGTAGTGAACATAAAGTAAAGTGAAAGTGAGCCTTTAATGAGACTGAACTTTGACACTAATATTTTATCATAGTTTTTCTTATTAGATATCACTTATCATATATTTATTGTTAAAAATTCTACCTACCTTAATTGTTATCATTAAGTATTTTAGTTACTTATACTGATATTTAGCATTAATCTATCATCACCCCTCGCTGTCTTTCTCGAGAGGTGCAAGTACGGTGAAACGTCATATTTCATGCCAACTTAGCAGTCTTAACAACACAGCACTTTACGCGCCACGCCAGTACGTGTTGCGGCGAGCAGTGCACTTCAAGTATTCACATCAACCAGTCGTTTACTTTATCATTCATAATATCATATCAAATATATCATATCATAGCAACTTTATTTTTTTATAAAAAAAAAAAAAGAGGGGTTTATTATATATAATATATATAGAGGGGGAAAAAAAAAAAAAAAAAAGTGAGTGTGTAAAAGTATAAGAAAAAGGGGGGGGGGGGGGGGGGGTGGGGTATCATCTATATCATATATCAAGTGTGGGAATCACACCTCACAAAGGTTTAGCGAGGCCAGCAGTGGGCCACCAGACTAAACTTTGATTTATCTGCGGAGATATGATTCAATGTGAAAGGAGTACTGGCAGTAGCACCCGCAGTGTCTGACAATCTGTTGAGACGCAGACGCAGGTGTTTTAGATACTTGTTTTACGAGAGCCTGTGGGGAGAAGTATGGTTTTTTTTAAATAGAAAAGAGTGAAATGGGCACACAGAGGCCTAAAGAGGCGCAGTCAGGCAGGATTGGCTTTTTCTCTTTTGGAGGGGCTGTGTGCCTGATATGCTAAATATACATAAATTGGTAGGTACAGTAATAAAAATGGATAAAAGGAAATAGAATGCATAAAAATAAGACACTGGCTCGTAAGAAACAACCTGTATTCATGCTTAAGCACATAGTGAGACCGTAAACTTATTCTAAATTATTTCTAAACCTAATTAATATAAAAAATTTATAAATAACTTAGTAATACTAAATCTTGATTTCATTTAGAACAGTTGTGGAATTTCATACAACTCTTTAATTACAAGCGAGTTACATAAGGCATGCCTTCTAAGACTATATATTGAAGCAGCTCATACAGGATAGTCAGTTTGCATAGGTTAAATACATTTCTAATAATGATTTACACATTGCAGTTTGGTTTACAACTCTACCAAAATAAATTTGTTTTTAAAAGTTTTTTTACTTACACGTAACATATTTTCCACCGCGTTTTCGTTATATTACTTTTATTATTTTTAGAGGCGAAATGGAATGCTGTCAAGTAGGTATATGTAAACTGATGTAAAGAATAAAAAATTGTACCTATTGAATAAGGCGGTGAAGGAAAACATCGTGAGGAAACCTGCATGTCTGAGAAATAAGAAAAAAAATTTCGAAGACATGTCAAGTTCGCCAACACGAATTGGGGCAGCTCGGCGGACTATTCCTTGCCCTAAAACCCTCTCAGAAATGAGAGGAGACCTGTGCCCAACAGTGGGACGTATATAGGCTGTAACTTTACTTTACTTTATTTTTGAATAAAACTAAATTTACGGATTTTATCGCGTTTATTTAACTGATTTTACTTATTTTTAATTCCCGACGGTTCCGGGTGCTTTACAGCACCCATGGTTACGGGGGGGGGGGGGGCTGAGATTTTTGACGTCCCAAATCCCAATGTCATAGCCCGGCTACCTTCAGTTTTTAATATTTAGTCTGTAAATTTAGTTTTATTCAATGAGTAGTGTTCGCGTAAATTTAAGAAATCATTAAAATTATATATATTAGTACTGGTAGTTATTATTAAGATATAAGCCTTTTAAAGTACTGAGACACTTAATCTTTTTAAAATTATTTCTAGCCAAAGCTCAAACAGTTTAATCAGATGAGTATTTAGTTCACAATTTTTTTCATAATATGACATTGAACTTCCCAGTGCGATGGGCACTGGGAAGCTCATGGGAGGTTTTGACGACAGCTTATTCCAAGACACAGTCCGTGACGACATAATGGAAAAAATAACTTGAGATTTATATCACCAAAGAATAATTATTTTATCTTAAATTTAATACACAAAGTCGCACCATTTTTACTTTCAAAATTTATTTTAAATCATTGTATGTATTTTACAAAAAATATAAGAACGTTAACACAAGTATAAGCAACTTTGCGGTCAAATTCCCGCCAAAATCCTGACGTAGTGACATTTATTTATTTTTTAAATTTTCGCTTAAATAGTGTGTCACAAATTAAATAACCTAATTTGCCTGTTAAGCGTGGCAAATATGGAAAACTCATCTAGAATTCTTATGTGGTGAGAAGCCTATTTTGATTTACTTGCAGCATTAGCAGATCGGTGTTATTGATAACTTCACTTTTTGAACGTTAACTTCTGCTGCCATACTAGGATTATTATTTCATTTTAAGCAAAATACTACAATATGTGGCCACACTATAAAATGAAAACAATTTAAATAAAAAATAAATAATTTATTATTCTACGACTTCTATGAATACTACTAGTATGCGAATTAAGTTATGATCAATTTTTCGTAACTCTAGACGATTGCAAGTGCACAGATAATACGTAAATGAGAAATAAGTTCTTCAGAACAGAACTAGATCGTTGTTTTCGACAATCTAACACAAGTTTTTTAATGTGACTAAAAAACGCCCGCATTATTTATGTGCTCACTTCTTCAATGTGATTTAAAGTTAATTTCAGGCAAGAATGCAATTTTTCTTCGTATTTGCCTAACAACAGTAACTATCGTAAATTGTGCCAACTACACGCCCGAGCGCGTGCAATCCACAACTGTGACTTTGTTTTTGTTCTGAATTTCCGACTTAGTAGTATACATAGAAGTCTTATTATATTGTGTATTTTTGTATATTATTTAAAACGTAGTTATAGATAGTACGCAATGTGAAGCGAGACGTCAGTTTGACAGGCCTGTGTATGTTGCATGCGCGTTTGTGTGTGTGTGTGTCTCTGTGTGTGTGTGTGTGTGTGTGTGGGGGGGGGGGGGGGGGGTGTGCGTGCGTGCGCCCTCTAGCCGCACACGGCGCCGAGCTGCAGGCGCAGCGCGGCGTGCAGTGTGTGGTCGCGCGGCGGCGCGGCGGGCGGCACGGCGTTGCGGTACCGATACTGCAGCGCCAGCGCCGCGCCCGCCATGCTGCCCGCCCGAGCACCCTCGCTCGTCACTACCTGCAGCCGCAGCGCCAGCTTGTTCGACTTGCGCCACAGGATTATACTGCGGGGACAGTGACATTTCATATTTAATTTGTTATCGGATAAATGTGACCGACTATCACACAGTCCACTTGATAGTAAGTGGTTGATGTAGACATCTACATCTATCCTTGATAACGAATCAAAATGCAGATGCCTTGTCACCCCTAAAAATTCTCTACATTCACCATACCAAATCCTTCCCCGGTCGAGCCAACCCATTCGTGCTACAACTATAATATAGTTGAAACTTGGCTCAGCCACGTATACTAGTAGTAAATAGAAACATGAAATGTTTTAGTGTAAATTAAGGAATATTAAAGTAACCGTGCGTCGATATATTGCGCGGACAAACAATAACATTTGACAATATTAAACTAATTTTACGGATTTTATCGCGTTTAAATTAAATTTTTTTATTTTCCATAATTCCCCATAATTAATAAAATTAAATCTCAACCAAAACATATTACTGCAAGGCTTCAAGATACTGTAAGCTCGTTTTTTATAGACCAGAACAAAAAGCAATAGTTAAACCTTGAAGGTAGCCTTCGTTCACTATGACACCAGGATGTCAAACACCGGGAATTAAAAAAGTTAAAATTAAGCGCGACAAAATCCGTAAAATAAGTTGTATTGGGGGTGTAGTATTCGCATAAACAAGGTATTTTTGAACCTTTGACGATGGGACGAAAAGAAAATCGATCCCGGTGGAAAAAAACACAGCCGGACACGCAAGGGACCCCGTTTGCGCGCTGATCGTTTGCCTGCATCTTCTTCATCCCCTTAAAACCTACATGAACACGATACCATTTCGTCTTAAAGAATATTTTTTTCGTCTGTGCCTCAAATCTGCAAAACGCTGTCCGCCATATTAGATAATGTCGTGACGTCACTGATCCAGCCTAAGGGTATTAGTGTTCTGTGTCACTGATTATGAGAACTAGCTAACGTTCTGTGTTACTTCGAAATTTTTCAAGTTATCATTACGATTATTGAGTTTTACGAATTTTATTGAAAAGGCATCAGGGAAGACGAATTCGTAAAACCAGAAAGTACTAATCTACCAAGGATGAATAAATTGATGGTGGCAATTTTTTTTTGGATGCAATCCCGTTTTTTGTTCTGTTGAGTTGAAGAATGTTAAAACATCAATGTAAGTAACTATTACCAACTTTTGTTTATACAAAAACACAATACCAGGTCAATGTGTATTTTGATAAAACATAGTTTATTAGGTATCACAGTTTAGTTTATCTATAATTACAACCATAAGCAATCATTAGTTATAATATCTAAGTTAACGTAATTTTTTACAAAATATGACTTGCGATACCCTTCACCTCATGATGTTTTGTTTTGTATTAAACGATAGTTAAATATAAGTCACACTTACATCAAAATAATCTTCACAGTAGAATAGTCTGGTTTATGTAGACAATGTATTCGGGTATCTTCTTGCCAGTTTTAACCAAGTATTTCTTATATTTAAATACTTGGCACTTGAATCCATAACTTTTCCGGCGTTGTTATGCTCGTATTTTTACATTCAGGCACAACACAACAATGATTTAGATGGTAACTCAATTATTAAACATTAAAAAGTATTTTATTCCTTTGCAAAATCGGCAAAATCGAAGACAGTGACGTCACGAGTGGAACAGCACGGCGGCTAGCGTTTTCACGCGAAAATTCAAAACGATAGATTAAAAGTAATTTTTATGGTAGTATTAGGTGTTAAAAATGATATAAAAATTTCAATGGTTCATTATCACTCTAGGATTCATTTAAAACAACTTTTGAAAATCAGTGTAATACCCTATTACTCGAATATTTAACGAATCCATGATGAGGAAAAATATTCATATACAATATGAATTTTATGTTTATAATGGCCAATACTGCAGAATGGTAATTCATAGGTAAATACCTATTATATAAAGAAAAAACGAAACCCAAAAAGCCTCTAGATAAAATTAAATTTAATATTATAAAAAAGAGAGCTATTGATCTCCAAAAATTGTTATAAATTAAAAATAACCCAACAAAATTATATAGCATTGCATTAAAACTAATCCAAAACTTTTCGGATCCTTTATAAGCATAGTGTGCACAATAACACTACTTTTCAATAAAATGTCCTCTAATAAAACTGCAAATTGCAAAATGCTTTTCTTCACTTTATAACACTTCGGTAGCCAATAGGGCTTTCTAAAATCTTAATGTATTCAAAGGCGCAGGATCAGATCAGATTCCTTCAATTTTTGTCTGAAAATACGCCGGTAATACTTCAAAACGATTTTTGTTCCAATTGCCGCTTCCTTAATTGCTTCGTCTTAGAGCGCTTCTCATTCCAACATTCTATTGGCAAGCAAAACATTTTACAGCATTTCGTCAGCATGGTTTTATGAAACCTTCACGATTGACAATTTCGATCGTGATCTGTGCAGATAAAATAGATCACAGACTACTCCTACTCCAAGTGGATCACCGTGGAATTGGGGGTAGTCTGTAGAACTGGTGCTCCTCATACCTTGGTAATCAATTCTTAAGAATATTACCTAATGGATACAAATCCGACAGATTCCCAGCACTCTCTGGGATTTCTAAAGGATCACACTTATGACCTTTATTAGAAGTGAAATTGCTCATAGCTAAGCTACTCCTATTCATTGAAGACATAGGGCTTAGCAGTGAACTAAAGACATAGCAGCGATTACAATAGATCTTTTAGGCCGCAGTGATACCAGTCTTTCTAGACCAGCGTAGCTGTTCGCATAGAAAAGCTATGTATGCAGTCTAAATCTATGGATTTACCAATGATGTCGTATTGCTTGAAAATTTTATTAGAAGTTTGAAACAGTACCGAGCCTTTTCATCTGCTCTAATAACAGATAGATTCAATTTTTAAGCCAGCCCGATCCCGAAGAAACATCTTTGTCAATTACATTGTTTCGTGTTTCTTTCACTCAAAAGTAAACCTATCCACGGACGACTTAACAATTATGAAAGCCATATGCAACTAAAAAAGCCGAGTACTCTTCTCTAACAAAAGACTTCTTCTTGCAAGAAGATTTAAATCGCCTGGTTGGTTGTGATAAAACCCTATGTCACTGAATATTACGAAATGCACAGATTGAGGTGATTGGCTACTTTCAGTTTAGTAGTGTTCTTAGTCGTATATAACTGTTGACTGATGAACTCATAATGCGTCATTGATATTAAAATTCAAGGCATTTTGATTGTGATATTATAATGTAAGGATGTAACTAAGAATCACAGTTTTGCTTTTATGTGCCAATACAATATTATTATTTTTTTATAAAATTGAAGTGAAAAGCAAAATAACAGCTCCATTACTTGATGGTAACCACTGCAGCCAATGAACAACTGCAATCTTCTTCAAATAAAGATGCTATAGGTTTGTTGGTCACCTTTGAGGACTAAGATCGAATACCTTACAGCCTGTATAAATCGCGGCACGTAACTCTAGCGCTGAACGAAACGTGGAGGGGATAGCTGCGAATGTCGTATCAGAACGGCGATGGAATGCGACTGGAGAGCCAATCAGTGCGTGCTAACGATACGCACAGCCAACCATACGCTATAATGTGTAATACGGCTAATTATGCGCAATAACGGTCACCGCTAGACCTTCGTGCCATGCCGGGAGTTGTAATTTTACTGGCTCTCTATACCTTTCAGACCAAAACACAGCATTGCTCCTTCGCTGTGGAAAGGTAAGAGAGTGGTACTAACCCAGACGATTCATAGGCAGAAAATAAGTCCTACCACACGATTAAAAGATTTTAAATAAAAAAATATCTAGTTATTTTTTCTTTCTTCTTCCTTTTTTAAACTAGAATTTTACACTAGAATTTTCTTATGTATTGTGGAGGCAGTTTACATACAACAATAGCACAAGGACAAACATACAGTATCCGGAACAATTACTTGTACAAATAGTTGTTCCGTGCAGGATTCGAATCCACGGCCTTCATCGCCACAACTTATTGCTAAGCTATTGCGCTACGGAGCCGTCTAACTATCAAGGAAATACTACCACCTTGTATAAAGGTTTCTGAAATTATTGGTAAGATAACTAGTTATGAGCAGCACTTACTCGTTGGCATCGTGTGTGGCATCGTCGTCGTATTCGGCTGCATCGTCGCGCTGAGCCAACGTCAGCGTCACGTCCGGTATCGTGATGCGACAATCGCTCATTAAATTGGGCTTCCGTTTTAAAGTCTCGTACCAGGTCGTGTCCTGAGAAATAGGTTTTTTGAAGTGAAAACTTGTTTAGAATTTTTGTGATATGAAACGAAAAAGTGACACTAAAAACATATACATCTATAGGATTTTGCCTGCGAGAATGATAGAATATTATATTAAATTAGTCGTACTTACGCCATCTAGCGTCTATTTTACGTACAACCTTGAGATTTAATAAAGTTTTATTCGACTAAATGACTTTACCTATAGAATAAAATAGATGGCGCTATTACAAATTAATTTTACTCGAAAGAAAATATTCTTTGGATTTATTATATTAAAATTTAGGTTCTTATATTTTATGCCATACTTGTGGTTGAAAATTATCATATAATTTTTTTTATAGTATAATGGTGGCGAACGAGCACACAGTTCACCTGATGGTAAGTGGTTGGTGTGGCCCATAGACATCTACACCTATCATCTATAACGAATCAAAATGCAGGTTCGATATAATCCGTGAGAACTAAGATGGAATGCCTCGTATCCAGTAAAAGGGTCTCTGGTTCCCTACACTCACCAAACGTAACACAACAGCGTTAAACTGCTATTTGACGTTGGTATTTTGTGTCCTTCCCTGGTCGAGCTAACCCATTCGTACTACAACTATACTAGTAATATAGCTCCAGCATTGCTCTATCACGTAAAAAATAAATCATTTTCCGGAAATATTTTTATACTTTATTTCATATCATTTGAAGGTTTTTTTTAAGTAACAGTGATGAAGAACCACACAGTTCATCTGATGGTAAGTAAATGCAGTGGCCTATAGACACGTATATTATACCTTAAAATCAAAATGCAGATGTGTTTTCATTCTTGTAAACTAAGATGGAATGACTTTTTTTCTGGATTTTGTGAGTTTTTGTTTAGGTGTGGATTTTTATCAAGTTGAAAGGTTTCGATCGTTAATTTAAGTTCAGTTTTCCTAAAAGCATATTGTAGGCATAACAGTAAAACTCGTACCTTTTCTAAATTTAATGATTTTTCCAGAGATTTCTCGATGCTTTTTGGTTCTTCTACCCTCTCTTCAGGCTCTGGTATATCTTCCGGCTGCATTAAACGTATTTGCATTTCATGACCTGTTGGATTGGTCAGCTTCAAAAACAACGCTGATGTACAGCCCGGCTTGATCGGTTCGTAAGAAATTATCTTAACTTCTGGAACATGGTAGCTGCCATAAAAATAAGAATTTAAAGTTGTTTCCAGTAAAAATGAAGTAATTTATTTTATATAAATATAAAGCAATACCTGACAATTAAAATAAAGTTATAAATAAATACGAATAGCAAGAATTAAAACTAGGGCCAATATTTTTCATATAAATAATGAATGGTTTGCATTCTACATATTTCGTTGTTGCTATTTTTAAATTACAATTTTTATAATTCTATACATCTTTTTTCAATCTTACAACTGTATAAAAGACATTAACATCTTAAAATTAAATTTAAGTCACCCACAATATAAAAGCCAACATTATATATTTAACCCATGATAATAACCCCTCGCAATGAGGTGATTGCTACGGTATAAATGTCCCGCAGGGTTTTTGCTGGTTCTTTCCAGGGGTTCCCAACCAGTGGTAGACTTTAAATGACTTTCAATAAGTGTCTATGATGAATAAAAATTATTCTATTTTATTCTAAGATAAACACTCTATTAGTTATTAGAAAATATGTCTGAAGCACACTTAATTTAGCTTCATAATGTTACCATAAAGAAAATTTACTATGTATAAACATCACTTACAAAGCAAGCAGCTCGATTTTGAACTTGATAGAGCCAGGGTTGTATTCGGGTTTGGTGAGATTATGGTCACAGACTCGGCATCGCTGGCTGCGCTTCACACTTAGAAGTTTTGCAATAGGGTGCAGACGTGATACGTGTGTCGGTTGCCACTCGGGGGAAGCTAGTCGCTGTGGCATACTTGTGACTGCAATCAATAATATTTTTTTTATAGAATATGGGTGACACACAAATACACAATCTAACTGATAGCAAGTGCTGCCCTGCCACGTCTTTGAGGAAAATTTTAGGCATTTTATTTAATTTTTTTTATTTACATTTGTAACTGATATGCTAACAAAACAATATTTCAGTACTTGCACAACGTGAGGATTATGTTACACATATAATGCATTCAACACACATACCTCCTCCAAATACAGTTTTTTATGTGGTAGATTTAGTCACTACGTAACTACAGCGGAACCCTTTCGGAAGTGAGAGGAGCCCTGTGCAAAGCAGTGGAACGTATACAGGCTGTAAATATTACTTTAACTTTACGTAGTTGAGCCACACTGCAGTGCAACTCGTCTCGACCAGGGTAGGAGGATACGAAACACATCAGCATGTATGGTAGAAATTTTGTATGGTAAGTGACCGGAACTGGAGACCCTGTTTACTGATAACAAGTCATTCCACATTAGTCCTCAGGTGTGACGAATATCCGCGTCTTATTTCTTAATCGAGGATATATGTGAAAGTCACAGCCACCATTTATAAGATAGACTGTGTGCTCATTAGCTTCAACGTTGCTGTATCACTAGTCCATGGAAATCAAGTTTGGCATTTTGTATGTATATTTTGCCAATCGTCAGTGAACAGAATGCACCACATGTAAGTAAGGTTGACTGCAATGTGTAGAAAAAGTTTGTCCACCCACTCATAGAACCCTCCTAATTACAACCCGGTTCAGCTAAGTTTGCACCTCACTGCAATGCGAGAACCTCCGTTTCTCTGCTCTCAATCCCCCGTTCATACAGTCGCGTCAGTAAGGTTTGCAACTTTGCTGCCGGTACGTAATTAAATAAAATTTCGTCACCTTATTGAATTAGTTTTTGCATTAGTTTAAATGTTATTTCACACGCACCAAGTACAAATTTAACTCAACCGAGTAGTATATAGTAAGTCTGGCAAGCTATGTGGGAATTTTTTTATTGATTCGACATTTTTCCTTGATTTTTGACCAAGGTCAGAATCAGGATCAGGAAAACCACCCTTAGTTACTCGATAAAATTTTGTTCACAAAGGTTGCCTGCCTGCTCAGTTTTAATGACTGTTATGTTTTTTTTATATAGAATAGGGGGCAAACGAGCATGCGGCTCACCTGATGTTAAGTGACTACCGACACCCAGCCCATGAACAACCGCAACACCAAGGGAATTGCAGGTGCGTTGCCGGCCCTTTAGAATGGAGTAAACTCTTTTCTTGAAGGTCCCTAGGTCATATCGGTCCGGAAAAATCGCCGGTGGTAAATTATTCCACAAAGAGGTCGTACGCGGAAGAAAACTCCTAGTGAAATGTAGGTTTGCCGTGTAGTGCGTTCATGAAATTTGGCGGCTAGGATTAATCCGAACAATTCCTCAGAGCACTCCCCGTAGTATACGCGAAAGAAAATGCAAAGAGATGCAACACGCAGCGCCAGTGAATCAAGCTGATCGGAAAACACTCGGTCGTCGACGATTAGAGCCTAAGAATTCTGAGGGTTAAACTGGACTAGATTTAGTCGCCCTCAATCCGAGACTTTGTTCAAAAAAGACTCGACTTCAGACACAAGTTTGTCCCGGTACTCGGAGATGTTTTCCCGAGATATATTGGCACGGCCGATGTACAGAGCATCACCAGTGCTGTCATCTGCATAGCAATGAATGTTTCCGGTTTGCAACATATCATTGATATGTAGAAGAAACAGCGTTGGCGATAGCACGCAGCCTTGTGGAACATCAGCATTAATAGGCTTGTAGTCGGAGCTTTCACCGTCTACACCGACCTTGATGCTCCGATCTGCAAGAAAGCTGGTAATCCAACTGCACAATTTCTCGGGAAGTCCATAGGAAGGGAGCTTCGAAAGAAGCGCTTTGTGCCTTTGCAATATCAAACTAACGGCCAATGCCTCCCCCCTTAGACTCTACTGCCTCCGTCCATCTATGAGTCAGGTAGACAAGAAGATCACCAGCTGATCGACCACGACAAAAACCTAATCAGCTGGTCATTCTCAAGGTACGTCATGAGCTGGCAGTTTACAATAGACTCCATTGTTTTGGAGAACAAGGAGGTAATGGCGATAGGCCTGTAGCTGGATGGGTCTGAGCGGTCGCCTTTTTACAGATCGGGTGGACGAAAGCCATCTTCCTTGATTTTGGGACTACGCCTAGGGAGTAGGAGTACCGGAAAAGACGCGTTAGAACCGGTTCCAACTCTGGAGCACATGTCCTCAGCACAATTGGGAGGATTCCGTCATGCCCACTCGACTTGTGGATGTCCAGGGAGAGGAGTGCTTTGCGAACCGAACGCTGTGTGAACCGCACCTCCGGCATGGATCACTCACACCGCGGGATGGTCGGCTGCGTACGGGGAGTACCGTCATCGAGAATCAAGTTGGACGCAAAAAAAGAGCCTAGCAGATCGGCTTTCTCCTTTGCGGCATGAATCAGTGAGTCGTCCTCCCTGTGCTGACATGGAAGTGTAGGGCCGACAGAAATTCCCCTGGATAGTCTTGGCGAGAGACCAGAATGCACGGGTTCTCGAAGGAAGGCGAACTAGTTTCTCGCCAATTCTGCCCATGTGCTCTGACTTTACCTTGGCAATGACTCTTTTGAAGGACCTGGGGGGCGGAATTATACTTCTTTTTTAGAGCGCTGTGTTTAGCCCAGGTCAGGTAGCACTCCTGCTTATAGCATGATGCTATTTTACAGGAGCGACTAACCCATGGCTGAGATTTGCCTCCGATGGGCACCACAGAGGAAGGAATAAAAACGTTCCATACCCTGAAGTACCATGTAAGCGACAGAATCAGTAACAACGTTGGGATCGTCCGGCGAGAAGCAAACTCGCCCCCAAGGGTAGGATGCAAAGAAAGACCGCATCCAACCCAATCGGCTCACCTATAGTGCCAAACACGGCTGCAGCCAGCAGAATGCAACCGCGATTTCAGCGTGAGTAGCACCGCACTCCGGACAAGACAATGGTCCAAGGAGCCTAAAGGGGCATCGACGGAAATCTGATATTCGTCCGGATGAGAGGTCAGCATAAGGTCCAACAGGGAAGGTGCATGATCCTCCACATCTGGAATCCGCGTAGGCGATGTAGTGTCAGACCAGTTGTGTCAGACCATATGTCAAAGCAAAATCATGAACAAATCTCCCCGCATGATCGGTTAAACGTGAACAAGTCTATTCGGCGTGGTGGGCATTAAAATCGCCGAGGATCACGATCTCTGCGGAGGGTATGTGCTGTAGCAACGAATTTGTAGCCATTTGGACTTGGTCGAAGAATCGATCTGTTTCGGCATTACCCTCATAGCGGTACCCCTATAGAGGCGTACCCGTAGAAGCGCGGACGGTCGTCGTTTTCTACGCGTAGTCAAAAGATGGACAGGTCCGAACCTTCAAGACTGCCGAGGCGTCGAAAACAGATGTGCTCTCTGATGTACACGCAAACTCCAGTCCGAGGCATAAAGGAGTGTTCCAGTTTGTACCCCGGGTAGGAGAGATACGAAGCTTCAGCCGGAGAGGCACTTGCGTCTCGGTCAGAAAGAGCAGAGTCGGCACCGGGGGGAATTGCAGTCACCAGACGAAACGCGCAAGCTGAGCTTCCACTTCACGCCGGTATTCTGTAACGTCGTGGTACCACCCCGGTTTGAGCCGGCCCATACATGCAACAGCAAAGCTGCCGCATGGCTCCACCACTGTTAAAACTGTGTCAGGTGAGTTTATGATATATACTTTGATTTAAATTCAGCTCCTTGGTGTAAAACTCCTCTGGTAATTCTTCAACTTCGGCAGAGGCTTGACTTGGTGTAAAGTTGGCGATGGCTGAAGAAGAGCTCTCACTGGAAGGTAAACCAGCGATGTTCCTCGCCATCGCTCCTGTCAAACCGGTTTTGTCCTGTAGATGAAGAATAAATTAAGTATTTTGTATCATTGCTACTGTTTATATTTTATTAAAAATATTTTACAAATGAATAAATTCCTAGAAGATATATTTGTAAGAAATGAACACAGGTCACAAAACAGACAATCTACTGTACATTCAACAGAGATACAGCAATAGTATGCCGCTGTATTACACTGGTTTCTGTTTTTTTCTAGCATCAAGACAATTCTGATACATTCCCCAGGCCCCTCAATGACATTTTTTTGGCATTAGCAGTATGCTTTCTATATATTTTTTGGGACTAGTTTATATGTATAAACTAAACTACGAGTATACAAATGCAATTAACTTAAATGTCTTTCAGTTTTATAAAAACTAAACATTTTGGTTACTTCATAATAATTAAGTTTTCAAACTTTTTAAATATTTTTAAAAAAGATTTTATGCAGTTTATTACTCCATTATGTTAGCATACACATTTTTAAGGATGTGTTTAGAATTGAATGAATGATTTTTTATTCAATATACATTATTACATAATAGGTACTTATTAAAAGTCATTTTTTATTTACCATTGTAATTTGTGATTTAAATAGGTATTAAGTAGAAAGAAAATTGAGAAAAGAAAGAGATTGATAAAAGAGCAGCTTGTACTTTTACTTTTGTGATTAAAATAAAGTAAATTATTGTATTTTCTCAATACTAACAGTCAATGTAATGTATTTTCCTCTAATTGCAAACTTCTTTCGCTCTCTATCCAACTTTTCTTGCTTCTCTTGCTGTGCTATAGCCTTATAGTAATCTAGAAGCTGATTGACACGAGTCGCGTATGGATTAGCCCTCTCCGGCCAACCACCAGATGCTACAAGACAAAAGCTTTATATTATAATTAAGTATAAAATATTTTATACTACTATAATTAAGTATAAAAAAATTATCTACGAGCAAAGACAAAGTTAATAGCTAGAATTCAAAAACGTAAAAAAGGCAATGCAGAAGAGAAAGAAAAGAGAAGAAAATTCTTAAATACTTGTCCGTCTGTACCAATAACTGCAAATTTCTTCAAAGAAATATTTTTTATACTCAAGATAAGGAACTGAAAGTGATAGAGGAAAGTTAGGGAGTAAAATTTGTATTTACCTACTGGTTGATCAGGTATACCAACATCCCTTGAAGTCCATCGACAATTAAAGCAAGACAAGTAATACATTTTTTTGGGTTGTTTATTTTCTACCTTCGTATCCCCAGAGCCTTGTTCTGTAGGCTGACGAGGTTGAGCCAGTGTTGCTCTAAAGAAAAATATTATTGTCTATATAAATTAAGTTAGATAGGTTAAAATTATTTATCACCACATGCATTTAAATATAATTTTGGGTCAATTTGATTACTTGAATATAAACTTCCCACAAAACCAACATACAACCAGCTAATATGAATATGGGGACCACAATTTGTTGTTATTATTATTATGTAGTAATAATAATAGTAAAATCAGACCGAATTTCGGCCACGTCGGCCTGCCTCAACGGAGGCTAGCCATCGGCGCAAAACAGGATTATAGTGCCCATGTGTATGCGCAAGCACAGGTGCACTCTCTATTTCCTCAATCTCATAATCCAATGGGACGGTAAGCCGACATGACTGGAGAGAGATCAGGTGCAGGACCAACGGCTTTACGTGCTTTCCAAGGCACGGGGGTGACGACACCGCCAACTTCCTGACTCTGGGGCAACTACTGAGAATTTCTTGACGGAAAAACTCAATAAATAATTTTTTGGCCCGGCCCGGGATTCGAACCCAGGACCTCATGATCAGCAGTCGCATTACTACAACCACTAGACCAACGAGGCAGTCATAAATGAGCATGTATTATGTGTGTTGATGTTTTAAAATAGTCCAAGTCTACACCACTAAATTAAATTGTTTTTGTACCATTTGTCAAGTTTGTTTATAAAACTAATCGCAGAGCGAGTATCAATCATGTCTTGAGGCAACTTCTTCCATATGTTTATATTTCTGTTGTTTAGTGTGAAGTTCCACATTAGTGTATGAGGGGGTAAGAACCAATCTCATACAGTTAGGATGTCTAGCTGGAGAAGTAGCATGTTTATAATTTTTTTTGAAAGTTCTAAATATTATAAAGAAAAATGAAAAAAAAATCTAACATTTATTTTAAATAATTATTAAAAAATGTAATTTTACAATTAAGAACGGTTTTTCTAAAATGTAAATTCAAACGCCGGTAACATTACCATATCACTTTAGTAACACCACCGCATGGAGAAATGATAAAACACTAATGTTTATGTTGTCCAAATTAAAAAAATTGCCATTGCAAAATACATGTTATAATATATGTTTTGTTTTGACACATGGTGATCCGAATATAGGAAATACAAAAGTATAGCATGATTGCGATTGGCTCACAGCCTCAACGGATACAATGCCGTCCCAACCAATCACAAGTAGTTTTTTCTTTCATTTAAAAATTTTACTATTTTTTATTAATTACTACAAAAATTTAATTGTTTACAAAAAAAAAAATTAAATCTACTATAAATAAATCATTCTTTCCAAATCCCCTCATGCGGCAATCTAAGGCCTATGTTCAGCAGTTGACTTTTGGATGGTTTGTCACAGTTAATTTGATGATGAGGACTCATTGTGACCTTTGTTTATCATTAATTAATCTACAACTAATAATCAACAGTCATGTATCCAGGGAGCCCATGGCCTCAGCCAGCAGCTTTTGGGAGTTGGCATTCTGAGAAAGAGAAAGTAACCTCAATCCCCATAAAAATCCCATGCAGTTGCATGCATCCGTCAAATCTCGAGCACCCATAGCACTTTAAACCATTAAAACTTATATTTAGAGACTACTTTTCTCAGAAGAAGTTTGGCATTATAAAATCTATACAAAATTCTCAATCCTGTGGTCTAAACAAAAGTTAAGTTTTACTTTATTACAAAAAGAGTATTGTATTTTGATAACAAAAAATGGGTACATACCAAGTGGAGTTGTTACTAATACTAGTGGACTAGTTACTTAACAACTTCGAATTAGCGGAGTGCGGGGTGAGCGCGGAATGCCTGCCCTGCTAATATGCAAAGTAGCGCCGCTTGGTTTCTACGAATTAGTACACGCCCGGCACTGCTACACTTACCAAAGGTATTAGAATTTAAGCAAACTACTATTTTCTTTGTGTTTAAATACTATAGATAATTTTAAATAAACCATAATACATAAAAAAAACTACTCCGCAAAGTGTAAGCAGTGTCGGGCGCGTACTAATTCGTAGAAACCAAGCGGCGCTACTCCACCCCGCGCTCACCCCGCACTTCGCTAATTCGCGGAACTGGCAGCGTAGTTGTTAAAAAAATAAATTATATTCACACAAAAACTGTTATAACAATTTTATAATAAAACAGTATAGTAAAACACTAATAAAACACTAGAACAATCCAAAAATCAACACAACAACATCCAAATGAAAATGGCGTACGTAATGAACGTAGATTATAAATAAATATCCATAGACTGACTTTTTATTGCACTAGAGGATAGAAAATTTCATATTGATTCTATAATGCCAAACTTCATCATAGAAAAGTAGTCCCTAAATATAAGTTTTAATGGTTTAAAGTGCTGTGGGTGTGAGTGATTGAATCTGATCACTTAGATTTTGACGGAATAGCGCCGCGGTGACTAACTGATTTGACTGCTTGGGGATTGAGAGGTTAATACTGTCAATTAAACATAGCATTAGTTCTGAAAATAGAGATATGCACAGCTCACTCACACTTGCTTACTGCCTTGCTTCATAGAGAGAAATAAGCTTAAAAAATTAATTATATTGTTTTATTAACTTTATAATCACATACAAAGACTATAAACTATAGAAGACTTTTATCCACGAAATATTTTACGAAGTTTGATAAAATGAGTGGTTGGTCTCAGACAGGACACAAATAAGTTATGGACTTCTTTTTGTAAGAGATCTAAAGCAAAAGCAATCATAACAATGTTGATATATAGTCCTTCTCAAATTTTTTTATATTTTATATTTTTTTATATTTAATTTTATATGAATGAACATATTACAGATAATTATACCTTGTTGAAAGTGTATGAAAACAACTAGGACAGTCAAAACAACTGCTGCAACGGTTCTTTTTGAGCCTAGCTTCTGACGATGGCATGTTCTCCAGGCAGTTGGCACAGTAGTGTGAGTCTACCTGAAGGATTAAATAAGGAAATATTTTGTTAATAACTAGGTTATTTGATTAGATTTTTTTGTTTATATAATTACAAAATAAATAAGTAAATTGACTATGCAAAGTAAATAAATGAATCTGCCATCATAATATGTCTAAATACAAGATGCAAGTATTATCAAATATTTTTAACGTTTGATCAAGATCCCACTTAATGTTATGTGGTGTACTTTCAATGTGGTGGTGTAAAATTTCTATAGCATTCTTTAGTGATTTGAAAGTACTTAAAAAAAAAATATTATTTTTATTTTTTGAAGTTAGTATAGTTTCGCTGAAAATAATTATAAGTTTGCATATTTGGTTTCATGTCATGATGTTTAAATTATACATAAAAACATTTTTATATTTGGTCAATATGATATGATTGGTAGATATGATAGGGATATAGAACGACGAGTAAATGCAGGGAATAGAGTGAATGGGGCACTACACTCTATTATGAAGAACCAGAATTTGTCAAAACAGGCACGTATGGTAATTCATAATGCTGTGTTAGTCCCTACTTTAATGTATGGTAGTGAAAGCTGGGTGTGGCAGAAGAAGCACGAAAGTAGAATAAATGCTGTAGAAATGCGGTCTTTAAGGAATATGCTAGGGTGTAATCTGAATGACAGGGTGAGAAATTGCGTGATAAGAGATAAATGTGGTATGCAAGATGATGTTGTGACCAGGATTAAGAAAGGAATGCTTCGGTGGTTTGGTCACGTAGAAAGAATGAATGAGGAAAGAGTGACAAAGCAAATTTATATGGCAGATGTGAATGGCCGAGTCGGGAAGGGACGCCCTAGGAAAAAGTTTATCGACCAAATTGGCGATATTTTGAAAATGGGCTACATTAGAAGTACCCTTAACCGACGAGCATGTATGCGTAGGTGTATGGATGTAAAGGAGGCGAGAGAGGTGTGTCAGGATCGTGCCAAATGGAAGTCCGTAGTCTCTGCCTACCCCTCTGGGTGACAGGCGTGAGTGTTTATGTATGTAATATATATTTGGTCATAGTTACCTCATGACAGATGCAGAAGGCGCATCGTATTTGTAAGCAGTGTCGACAAAAATATAAGTTCGTAATAGGTTTTAGCTGACCACAGGAGCAGGCATACTTAACATAGTCAGGCTGAGTTAAATAAGCCATGGTAAAGGTAACTATAATTATACAGAAACAATTTAATGAGAGTAAACTACAGTACAAAATACCTATGAGTCAGTGACTGACATTGACACTTGACTGCACTTGACAGCTCGCTTAAGTTGACAACTTGACATTTAAGTGACAAGCTGAAAATAGAATTTTTTTTATTAACTGTATTTACGGCTCTGGGTTCTAGCTTTTATGAGCCTGAAGTTTCAATAAATTATTAATTATCTTTAGGGGGATGTCGCTCGCGTCCGTAGGCTTTGACCACCTAATCCTAGGCCCACCCTACACGTGTCCCCCGGGTGGTGCTAAATGAGCGACAAGCCGATAGCAAAGACTCGGCTCTTCGCCGAAGTAGCGGCGTAAAATATACTACCCTATATTTTGCACTATGAGGAACCGAATAAAAGAAATGGCCCCGAGTTTCCGGCGCCCCTTTGATGGGGCAGGGGTGCGAAGAATCTCCGGGAGGAAAACCGGCGACGAGGTTCACCACCCGTCACGTGCTGTCTCCCGGAGGGACGAAAAGTGGATTGCAGAGGCCAGCCTGGCTACGTTGAATGTATGTGGAGCAATGAATGATAAAATGGATGTAGTATGCGATATGATGTATGATAGAGGAATAGAGTGATATGTCTGATGTATACCGCATACTGGTCTGGGGTAGACGAGATCGAGCGGGCATGCCAGAGAGTAGGTATCATCCTTTCAGAAAGAATGGGCCAATATGTTGCTATGGATACGAATGAAAGTGGGCTTAAAGAAGTTGTTTGTGCTAGGGGTCTACGCCCCAGACATGCCTAAGCCCACTTATATCCGAGAGCAGTTTTGGGAAATGGTAAGGATGGTGTTAATGAAATGTAAAGAAAATGAAAATATTATTATGCTAGGAGATTTTAATAGAAGGGTTGAGGTGATGAGGCTTGGGTATGAAAGGATATTGGGAACGTTTGGTGATGAAAGCATAAACGAGAATGGTGAAAGCCTCCTCACCGTATGTATGGAAAAGAATATTTTTGTGACGAACACTTGCTTTCGCCACAAGAGGATTCACATGTATACTTGGGAAAGAGGTGATGATAGAAGCATGATAAGATTTCGTAATTGTGGGATGGGATTGTGGTGAAAGAATGAGGGGCGTACTGGTAGATACAAGGATCTACCGGGGGTCTAACGTAGGAACAGATCATTATTTGGTTTTGTGCCGAATTAATGGTCTATTCAGGCGTTGGCGCCATCGGTCATCTGTGTCTACCACTGCGTTACAGCGTATTAGAACAGAAAGGCTACAAGAGGAAGGTGAGAAAAACAAGTTCAAATGTAGACTGAAAGAAAATATAAGTGGTTTGGATGAATTATGTATGAATGAGTTAGACTTGGAGAATGTATGGCAAAATGTTAAGAAAGGTTTAGTGGATGCAGCTACCGAAGTATGTGGTGTTAGTAAGAGAACGAATGAAAGGAAAAATAATACGTTATGGTGGGATGATGAGATACGTATGGAAGTTGAAGCAAAGAAGAGAGCATGGCTAGATTTACTAGCAACAAAAGCTGGTAATTCTAGCGGTACGAATGATGATATTGAAAGAAAAAAGGCAGTCTTTAGACATATAAATAAGAGAGTAAAAGAAGTAGTTGAAAGGAAAAAGTAAGAAAGAACGGATAAGAATGATAGAAGAATATCAGATAACTTCCAGGCGAATATTAAAATGTTCTGGAAACTCGTAAGAACTGCCAGGGGACATTCAAAACAGCCTATAATGAATGCTATAAGAGACGAGAATGGATTTATTCTGAATGATGAAATTTTGAGTTTAAAGAGATAGAAGAAATATTTTGAAAGCGTGTTTATGAGTGAGGAGACAACGTATGAATTAAATGAAGTAGAAACTCCGAAAGAAGAGGAAAGAGGTAGCGAGATAAGTATAGATGAAAAAATGAAAGCAATGAAAAGCATGAAAGCAGGTAAGGCTGCCAGATATGACAGAGTTTCACTCGAAATGCTGGGCGGAGAGGAAGTGATGGCAGGCCTGCTGCACACCTTGTTTAATTTATGGTGGGTACTTAAGCGGGTACCGGTAGACTGGTGCAAAGCCGTGATAGTCCGAGTATATAAAGGAAAAGGGTCGCAGCAGGACTGTAAAAACTACCGTGGTATCAGCCTTCTTAGCATTGTGGGAAAACTGTATGCTAAGGTACTGATTGAAAGGGTCATGAAAGAAACGGATGAAAAAATTTGGGATGTGCAAGCGGGATTTAGAAAGGGAATGGGATCTACAGATCAAGTCTTTTCCATGCGCATGATCGTGGAGAAGTTTTTGGCCAAAAAACCAAAAGGTTTTTTGTGCGTTCATGAACTTGGAAAAGGCCTATGACAGAGTGGATAGGGATGTGCTATGGCAAACACTGAACTCATTTGGGTTGAGCGCGGGCTTGATACAGGCATTGGAGTCTCTTTATAGAGACTCTTCTAGGTTTGGCATCCATAAAGGTGTCAGACAGGGCTGTGTGGCTTACCCGTGGGTGTTCAACCTATTATGGACAGTTGTTTGCAAAATTTGAAAGTTGAAGAACGCGGATTAAGAATGTGTGAGTTAACTGTCAAATGCCTTTTGTACGCAAATGATCAAGTTATTCTTGCGTCATCGGCGGCCGAGTTGCAAATGATGGTTACATTAATGAACAGATCACTAAAAGCAAGGGGTATGAAAGTGAACGCAAGTAAGACGAAAGTTATGGTTTTTGAAAGAGAAGAAAGTAAAATAATATGTGAAATAAGAATAGAAGGGGATTTGATCGAGCAAGTAGATGAGTTTGTATATTTAGGTAGCGTATTTAGCAGGGATGGGAGCAAGTAGATGAGTTTGTATATTTGGGTAGCGTATTTAGCAGGGATGGGAGATGTGATAAGGATAATAGAACGACGAGTGAATGCAGGCAATAGAGTAAATGGAGCCCTAGACTCTATTGTGAAGAGTCAAAATGTGTCGAAAAAGGCACGTATGGCAATTCACAATGCTGTGTTGGTCCCTACTTTAACGTATGGTAGTGAAAGTTGAGTGTGGCAGAAGAAGCACGAGAGTAGAATAAACGCAGTAGAAATGCGGTCGTTAAGGAGTATGTTAGGGCTCAATCTGAATGACAGGGTGAGAAATTGTGTGATTCGAGAAGAGTGTGGTCTGCAAGATGATGTTGTGACCAGGATTAAGAAAGGAATGCTTCGGGGGTTTGGTCATGTGGAAAGAATGAATGAGGAAAGAATGACAAAGAAAATTTATGTTGCAGAAGTGAATGGCAGAGTCGAAAAGGGACGTCCTAGGCGGAAGTTTGTCGACCAAATTGGCGATTTATTAAAAACGGGCCAAATTAGGAGCACCCTTAACCGACGAGCATGTATGCGTAGGTATATGGATGTGAAGGAGGCGTGAGAGGTGTGTCAGGATCGTGCCAAATGGAAGTCTGTAGTCTTTGCCTACCCCTCTGGGGGACAGGCGTGAGTGTTTATGTATGTATTTTATGTAATTATCGTTAAAAATTAGATACGTCACCTACGAAACATCAATAAAAAATTCACTTTTACATTTATTCACAAATCACAAAGTGCTTATTCATGTTTGCACTATTGATTAATACGACGTTTTCATTTTTATATATCTTGAACAATGACAATAGAAAATGATGCAAAGGAACATGAAGGTTAGAGAGAATGAGGAAAGAATGACAAAGAAAATTTATGTTGCAGAAGTGAATGGCAGAGTCGGAAAGGGACGTCCTAGGCGGAAGTTTGTCGACCAAATTGGCGATTTATTAAAAACGGGCCAAATTAGGAGCACCCTTAACCGACGAGTATGTATGCGTCGATATATGGATGTGAAGGAAGCGTGAGAGGTGTGTCAGGATCGTGTCAAATGGAAGTCTGTAGTCTTTGCCTACCCCTCTGGGTGACAGGCGTGAGTGTTTATGTATGTATTTTATGTAATTATCGTTAAAAATTTGATACGTCACGTACGAAACATCAATAAAAAATTCACTTTTACATTTATTCACAAATCACAAAGTGCTTATTCATGTTTGCACTATTGATTAATACGACGTTTTCATTTTTATATATCTTGAACAATGACAATAGAAAATGATGCAAAGGAACATGAAGGTTAGAGAGGAGAACGATCGCTACGAAATAAAGCATAGCCCTCCTATCCCTGAACTGCCGTCGGTAAGTAGTATCTGCGAAGTTAGCTGTTTATGAGTACAACTAGATGAAGTTCGTTAAATAATGTACAAATTTTCTTCGCGGCATTGGTGAGAAAATAATCGTGCTCCGTAATTTTTTAAAATTTGACAGAAAGAAACATCAAAAAATGGTGAAATATTGTATTGTGCGTGGTTGTGCAAGTAGCTTAGCATCTGATTGAAAAAATAGACTGAAAATGACTTTTATTGAGACAACTTAGCGATGCCATGAAGTGCATTCTCTCCATGCCATGGAGGTTAGAGAACAGGAGAACGATCGCTGTAGAAAATAGTGTCCCAGAAATACGGACCAAATAAGTGAGGCGCTGCCTTATTCAAAGAAAAAAAAACGAAATTATTATTATTTATTAATAAAAAAACTATAAATTAGGTATGTTTTTTATAATTTTAATTGTTATAACTTATTACAAATATAAATTATTTATCATCATCATCATCATTACAGCTCTTCACAAGTCTACTGATGAACGTAGGCCTCCCCCAAGTAATGCCACAAAGCACGGTCCCGAGCCACCTGCATCCATCGACTTCCTGCATCGTCTTACCAGGTCGTCACTCCATCTAGTGGGGGGTCGCCCTACACTACGCCTACGGTATGCCTGGAACCTTTCTTCCCCATCGGTTATCGGTTCTTCGAGCTATATGTTTATAAATTATTCATTATTATTCATTTATTATTATTATTATTATTTTATAATATTTCTTTTTGTCAATAATTCAAAAAT